GTAATAGCTAAAAATCAATGGTGTTTATAACTCCTAGTTGGTAGAGAGGAATATTGAAATAAGAAAAAAAAAAAAAGTCCAAAGAAGGCAGGAGAAGAAAGGCCCAGACAAATTGAAGAAATAAGCACACAGGAAGATGTTAGCTGAACTTCCCATTTACTAGTGATCACAACCTTTCTAAATGCAAAGGAAGCAGCAGGATCAGAAGAATTGGGGTTTTCTCCAAGAGAATAGAAAGTGAACCAAAACTCTGAGAAGAATGGTATGAGAATAGTATTCTCAAGAGAATAGTAAAATAAATAAATATAGAAATGCAAACATTTAAAATGGCATACCATTATCAAGTTAGGGTTGTATCAGAAGTGCAAGAGTCAAATAACACTAGGAAAGTGCAATTCACCACTTTAACAAAATGAAGAAAAATGCTGTTAGCGTAGGCATAAAAGCATGTAATAAACTTCACCATAGTTTTTTTTAAAACTTTGCAAACTAGGAAAAGAAGGAAGCTATCAGCTAAAGGAAATCTATATGGAGTATTTATAGCTTACATTATTCTTAATTATGAAACATTAGAAATATCAGCATAAAATCAGAAATCAAGGAAAGTGCAATCCACCATTGAACAAGACATACTAATGTAGGTAGGTATAAAAGCAAAATACAGATGTGACGATATTCAAGAGGTGACAAATAATTAACAAAGTTTAATGGATTCACAGATATTTAAAGATCAGTTTGCATTATCAAACATGAGCAACTCCAGAAAATAATTTTTAAAGGCAATTGTGACATGTTACCTAGGAAAAAATCCAACATGAGATGAATGATAACTTCAAGGAGGATTTTTTAAACTGAACATCATTAAAGAAAACCTATTTAAGGTGGAGAATATACAATGATCATGGTTGCCGGTAGTGTCTAGACTTAGGATATCAAATCTCTCAACCTTGGAACTCAACACAATTTCAATCAAAATCCCAACAGAGCTTTACAAGCTTAATTTAAATTTTATGTCCACAGCCAAAGGATGGAAAGCAAAACACTTCTGAAGGCAGTGAATGGAGGAGGGACCTGCTGTACCAAATATCAAGGCAATATTTAGAGCCCCCATCCCCACCCTTGGTACTGGAGACTGAACCCAAGGGTGCTCTACCACTGAGCTACATCCCCAACATTCAGATTTTTTTTTTTTTTAGACAGAATCTTGCTAAGTTGTCCAGGATGGCTTCAAACTTGTGATCCTCTTGCCTCAGCCTTCAAAGTGTATGCCACTGTGCCTGACTGATATTTAGAGGTTTAGGTGATTAAAACCTTAGGAAGGGGAGGATTTTTAAACAAAGTATATTGGACATTGAATACATTGAAACTTCACATATTTGATATTAGGTACATCGTAAAAGGAAAAAAAAAGAATTTGGAAAGCATATTTGCCACTCATAACTGTCAAGTATCATTTATATATTAAGTATAATGTATGAAGTGTGTATATGTACATATTATGTATAAAACTAAGAAAAAGTCCCTCCCTCCAAAAGAAATGAGAAGAAATAAGATACAGTGAATGGTGTGTATGGTGAAGAGTTAATGAAATCAGAGAACTTCTTCATTTAAAGAAAAGGGAAAGTTTTCTAAGGAAGTAGCAAATATCCTGGAATATTTGTGTGCATTTTAGCAAGAAATCATAGTGAATTACACCTGGCCAAAAAATGTTCCTGAAACTGGATGCTTAGGAAAGGAGAAGGACTCAGGGATAAAAGGGATTGTTGCAAGCAACAGTTTTGCCTAAGATGATCATTTAAGGAAAAGCAAATATTCATACTTAGGAATAGATGTCCTATGCGTTAAAAGAGATTAGAATTTGAACATTTAAAAACAGCTGTCTGCAGGCATAGCGGTGCACGCCTTTAATTCCAGATATTGGGGAGGCTGGGCCAGGAGGATTATAAATTTGAGGCCAGCCTGAACAACTTAAGGAGACCCTTTCTTAAAATAAGAAAGAGCTGGGGATGTCACTCAGGTGTAGCACATTTGCCTTAGCATGCATGAGGTCCTGGGTTCAATCCTCAGCACAGGCAAAAGAAGGGAAAAAGTTTATAATATGCTTTTCTCATGATTGTTGCAAGGATTCAATAAAAGATAGCACTTAAAGAGCTAGAAACAGTAAATGGCACAGAAAACCAGCTCAGTAAATATGAGCAATTATTGTTATTGAAAGTTCAGCAGATATAGCTATCAAGACAGTAGAAACTTCACAGTATTTACAAACATTGGAGGAGGTAGGGGAAACTCCTCATTTCAGGACTTTCACTAGTGTAGGAATGGACTTGTGTAGGGACGGAAAAATCTTCATCAAAAGCACCTTCCAGCAATTCTAGCACCATCACTCCTTCAAGATGAATGGGGAAAAATTCCATAAAGCTTCATCATCTGAAGCGTAATTGTGGATATTTATGGACAAAGAAGGAGGCAACTTAAGAATGGGCTTGGGTGTTATTTCCCCAGGTCCTTCTGTACCGAGACCCAGCTTGTTGGTGCTCATTACTGGTTGAAACCTCTCATGCTTTCTAGGCCAAGACATTGGAACATTTTGCAGGAAGAAGAAAAACAGTTGCTTAGTCATCTTCCAAGGGGATGTATGTAGCAAGGTCCCTTGAGGTTCTTTCCAGCTGTCCCTTGGGAACAATTATTGTTTGTGTTGTTTTGAACCTTATACCTCAGTGACTGGCAGGGCCAGCATAAATGATATTTGGCCAATATGAAGGAGAAATGTATTTAGAAATGAGCTCACCTAGAGCCTTCGCAGCAGGGCTGTGGAGGGGCATCTGATTCAAAGGCAAAGGGGCCTCCCATTCCAGGGAAGATTGGCATGGCCCATTCATGAGAAATGCTGGAAACAGGAAGCTTTTCTGTCGCTCTCATCACAAAGTGATGATGACATGGTGGCTAGAAAGAAACAAGATGGGATCTATCTACTGACAGGCAGGCAGGCCGGGAATGGGCCTCACGCTTTCAAATTTGTAGCAAACAATAACCCTAGACTACAGAAGGAAGCAAAGAGATGCTGACTGTATTGACATTCTGAATCAACTACCAATCTTGCATTCACTTGAAACCAGGGGGAAAGGGAGACATTGTGAAAATTAACCCAATATTCCTATTTTAGGTGATAACTGAACCCTGAGATATATAGCTCAGCTCCCACACAGGGTAATGATGGTTACTGTCTATGAATGCCAGTCTTTACTCTGAGAATTTTCTATGTAACATTTTATGTGATTCTCAGACAACTCAGGTAGATATTATTATCTCCATTGTACAGATGAGAAAGATGAAAGAAAAAAGGGTTATATAACCTCCCCAAGGTCACCTTAAGGATTCACAGTGGAGCAAGAATTTCTCTCCATGGGGCAGTGTGATGTGAGCACAAAGCTTCCTTTCTTACCACCCCCTACCCCATGCATCTGGCATCATTTCCATATTGAGCCATAACCAAGGGTGTATAAGGTCAATTCAGAAGAAAGTGTAGAAAGGTGACACACACTGACCATGCGCACGTGTCTACTCTCATCTGTCTCTGGTCCCCAGTCTCCTTCCCTGAAGTTCCCAAGCTCCACATTAGCTCTTAAAACCACAGTGGCAGCCATCATTATTACTGCAATTTGAATTAGTGGACAACACAATGCAGATCATTAAGTATTTGTTGAAAGTAACTCAGACTCTGGGAAATATTTTAAGATGATTTTGCTAGGAAGAAAACAGAAGAGACAAAATGAGGAGAGATCGGAGTCTGTTTTGTGTTGTTTTGCTTTTACAGAAAGGAAGACACAATATTTGGGATATTGTTATGAGAAAGATAAATATTGGGAAATTGGAAAACTGGTGTTTTTGGTATTGAAATAAGCTTGACATGGTTCTTGATTCCATGTGATGTGATGAAAGAAAGAGTCCTGGCCAGGAGCCTAACTCTGGATTCAAGAAAAGGGTTTGCCATTGTGAGCCATAATCCTTGACCAATTATTTATTCATTCATTCAACAAAAAATGCTGAACATCAGCTATGGGCCTGTGTTGCTCTAAATGCTGCAGATGCATTGGTAAATAATCCAAACCTAATCACTACCCTCAAGGAAATGTGCAGTGTAGGATGGGGCCAGCAGGCTTTTCCTGCAAAGGGATAGCTAATCAATAATTAAAGGTTCTGCAGGTCAGATGGTCTCTGTCGCAAATAACTCTACTGATACAGTGCAAAGGTGGCTGTACACAATACAGAAATACAGGGTATGGCTGTGTTCCAGTGACCATTAACTTTTTAAAAAAGTAAAGAGGTAGTATAGCCAACTTGGCAGGCAAGTTGTAGTTTGCCAATCCCTGGTATACAAGAAAAAAACAGATTCAAGTCAAATATTTATGTATATGATACCACGTCCAAAGTCCCTGTGGCAAGAAGACACATCAAGTCTTAGAAGGACTGGTAGCGGTAATGAATGGGGTGTCATGTGAGTGAAGCTGGAAAAGGAGGGAGGGACAGACCAGCAGGGTCTTCTAGAACATTCAGGACTTTGGTCTTTACTGTCCTAACAGTTTACCATCTTGGATTATTTTAAGAAGGAAGATAATAGGATTAGATATAAATTTTAAAAGATGTCTCACTGTATTGTGTTGAATGAATTGGATTAAGCTTCCTTTTTTAAAATGTAAGGATGGATATACTTGCCTTGTGTATCAGGCATTTCATTAGAGTGACCAATTCCACAAGGTACACAGAAACATTTCATAAAACTCAAATGACACAGAAAATATACAGTTATATCTTATAGGAAACACGACCACCAGAAGTTCATATTCTTTTGGATTTCCTCTATGAACAAAGACACTGTGAACTCATGAAATAAGTCTTTTGTTTATGTTACTGGGCTTCCTTCACCAGGGTAACTAGTCCTCAGGGTGCTCACTGAAGAGCAGGAACTTCCCTGGCTCTCTCACTCTTTCTGTTCTGCTTTCTCGCAAGCACATCTGACGTGCTGCCCACAGTCCAGGCCTGGCTCTACACCCATGAAAAACAGTTGCCAAGTATAAAGCTTCCCAAGCATGAGATGGATGCTGGAATGTCTTCGCCTGAGAAGCAGGATAAAGATAATTTAGTGGGTATGTTCCTCTCTCCTGTTTTAAGCACGTTAATGTTACAGAGGAAGGAAAGCAGGAATTGTAGCTTAGAGTTACAGAGTAAGCATGGGGTATAGGTATTGAAATTGGCTCCAATTCCATTTAGAGCCCATGATTTTGGATTCCTTGCTTATGTTGGTTCTATTTGCTTCTTGAGTGACCGTCTATAATTTGCTCCTTCTCTTCATTTTGAGATGGAATTGATGTTTGTCTTTGCATTCCTTTTTTTTCACATTAAATAGCAAAGATATATTAAAGATGTATTCAAATACATCTGGCGATGCTATGATTAAGAAAAAGCTGGTTTGAGTTTCATCATGTTTGATAAATGGAGAGAAGTTGTGGAAAATGAAACCCAGCCCCTAAGTACCAACTGCTACCTTACATACTATTAAATATTAGAGAATAGTTTGCTTATGTTATGTTTTCAAATCTTATAGTACTTCTGAAGTAGATCCTCTTATAATCTGACTTTACAAATGAGAAGACTGAGTCTTAGAGGGTTTAAAAACTTGAAGGTCCAGCCAGGCACAGTGGAGCACACCTATAATCCCAGAGGCTTGGGAGGCTGAGGCAGGAGGACCACAAGTTCAAAGCCAGCCTCAGGAAAAGCAAGGTGCTAAGGCAACTCAGTGAGACCCTGTCTCTAAATAAAATACAAAATAGGGCTGGGAATGTGGCTCGGTGGTCGAGTGCCCCTGAGTTCAATCTGTGGTACCAAAAACCCCAGAAAAACCTTGAAGTTCCGAAAACCATGATGATGGTGTTGATGGTGTGCACATGCACATATGTATCTAACGCACACTCTATACCTTATGTGACCAAAAATTCGTAGTCAGAAATTGAGAACACATTTATTATTATTAATTTATAAAAGAAAAAGTATACTTTAAAGACATTTACGCTGGGGCTGGGGATGTGGCTCAAGCGGTAACGCGCTTGCCTGGAATGCGCACAGTGCTGGGTTCGATCCTCAGCACCACATACAAATAAAGATGTTGTGTCCGCCGAAAACTAAACAATAAATAGTTAAAAAATTCTCTCTCTCTCTCTCTCTCTCTCTCTCTCTCTCTCGTAAAAAACAAAAAAAAAGACATTTACGCTGTTGAAGTAAATATAGCTAGACTGATATGCTGCAGGCAGCAGATACCACCTGGAAATGGTAGTGGAGGTGGAGGTCTCTTCCAGGATAACTTTTGTCATCTTTTTAAACAAGATGTTCCTTGAGACAGTAAAACTTCCATTCTAACAGGTTAAGACAGTGGCTGGGAAGATTGCATGATTGAAGTTGCATCACCAGTGAGATATTTGAAAGCATTTGTAAGTTTTCTTGGTTTTGATCTTTTAATACAATGAAAAATTTGCACTATGGCAGAAAAACCAGGACTAGGACTTCTAGTTTACAGTTTACAGTTTCCTGTGCTTTGGATCATTTGACCATTCTCTGAGGTTTGTGGAATAAGTTTGCCCTCACTTTCCTCCAACTAGGATGCACTACACAGTCCTCTACATAGTACGGAAATTCCTACTTGCAGGTGATGAGGGAATTAAATGAGAACTGAGTCCTTGTCATCACCCCCAGCAATGGTCTTACCAGTAGTTTGCTGCTGTCATGTGCCAGCTTTAAAAACGACCCATGCCAGGTGCACTGCACATGCCTGTAATACCAGCAGCTTGGGAGGCTGAGGCAGAAGGATCTCAAGTTCAAAGCCAGCCTCAGCAAAAGTGAGGTACTAAGCAACTCAGTGAGACCCTGTCTCTAAATAAAAAACACAAAATAGGCCTGAGGAGGTGGCTCAGTTGTCAAGTGCCCTTGAGTTCAATCCCCAGTACCCCCTACTAAAAACAAAACAAAACAACAATAAAAAAAAGAAAACCACTAATGCACATCTCTAACTTCAAGTTCATGATATCACAAGGGTGCATTAGAATCAACTGGTGCTTGGGGGCTGGGGGGTGAAGGTGTCATTTACATGATTAGAAGTGCCTACAAATGAAGGCTGCCCCCTCCCAGTAACCATATTGTTAAACATTTCCTAGCACACTGCTACTCACTAGTTTTTGACATTCACTCCTGCCCCCTTTTTTTCAAAGTGAAATTAATTGGAATCTAGAATACCCAAGTAACTTCCTGGGGAGCTTGTCTAAATGCAAACTGGTCCCTCCGTCCTAAAAATTCTAGTACTCTAGGTCCAGCTGGGTTTGAGATCCTGCAACTAAACCAGCTCCAGAGAAGTTGCCAGAGCCTATGCTTTGTGACCACTGTATTTCTTTTAAGCAATTTTGAACTTTCCTGAAAAATGTTCTTTTTTTGAAATAGGTTCATACCTATTTCAGAGAAAAACACAAGAGGGAAAATGAATTTCAGATGATGAAAAGAAAGTGTTTACCCCTAGGGTTTTACTTAGATTTTATGTTTGATGCTCAAAACCCTTGATTCTCAGCAGAAAGAACCAGAAAACTGCTGAATTCTACTGCCAGTTTAATCTTCACAGGATTGAAGGTGAATAGAGAGAATTGTTAATACATCTTCCCAAATCCAGGGAAGGTGATTGTTTCACTCTGAACACTTTTTATTTTTCTCCAGGAAATAATCTGATCTTCTCTTTTCTGCAAACACACACAAATTTTTTTTCACTTGACATGCTTTTTATTTTGAATTTACTTTTAAAAATTATATTAAAGGGCTAGGATTGTGGCTCAGCGGTAGAACGCTCACCTATCACGTGTGAGGCCCTCTGTTCGATCCTCAGCACCACATAAAAATAAATAAACAAATAAAGGTATTGTGTACAACTAAAAAATAAATATTAAAAAATTATATTAAAAACCCAGAAAATTCAGAATTATAAACCTATCAAAAATTAAGAAAACTCAAAAAAAAAAAAAAAAGAAAGAAAACTCAGAATCACTGTATTTCCACCACTCAAAAATAACCACATTTCATATTTTGGTTAATTTTCTTCTAAAATTCTTTCTATGCATGCATGTATTGCTATAATTGGGGTCTTACTGGCCATAAAATCTTACTACCTAAAATTCTACTACATGTTTCTCTTAACATTTTACCATAATGATTTTCCCATGTTTTTTTAAAACTTTAAAGCAATTATGCATAACATGAAACTGTGTGTGTGTGTGTGTGTGTGTGTGTGTGTGTCAGGGGTCACTTAATTATCCCACCATTGTTGTGCTCTCCAGGTGTTTTCGACTTTACTGCCGGTGGAAATGACACCATCATGAGAATATTTAAGCTTAAATCTTAAGGACAAAGTGCTTGTACTTGTTGTTAGCAGTGCTGTTATTTTAGAGAGGACTGGAAGTGTGGGGAGCATGGGGACAGTGGAGAATGATGCAAGGAAAACATTTTCTCTTTATTGTCTTCTCATAATGATGTGGGGGTGCGGGGACAGAGAGGGAGAAAGCACGACGGAGAAAATTCAAGGGCATATGGTTCTCAGCTTAATTGACTCTCTTGGGAGAAAACAGAATCTCGTCTGATGGATCATTATTTCCAGACAAGAGCAGTTCAAACTCTGTTATGTTACTGAGCGTTATTCTGAGACTTCAAAGTGGGTACACGGGCACCGTTCACTTCTCTTGTATTGCATCTACTGTGGGTGAGGAGGGGAAGACATAAAAATAAAACAACTACCTTCAAAGCACTAAAAATGTATAGGGAAGACACAGGAGTTAACGAAAAATGACAATGAAATAGGAAAAGGGATGACAGAGGTAGGCCCAGAAATTAAAAGGGGGCATCCAAGGGTGGGGATGAGAGTCATCTTCCTAGGAAAGAAAGTGATGTAAGTTGAGCCCTGAGGCTAGGTGACATAGGGGAGAATGTGGGATGCAAGAGGGGGGCTGGGGACCCAAAGGCAAAAGGATAAATATGTGCGAAAACCTGAATGTCCTTCTCTAGTCATGTTAGCATGTTAGCTGGGTCACTGGACCCATAATGGAGACCACTGTGATCCCTGCCACCTGAGAATCTGAATTCTTGCTGTGCTAAGAGCCTGTGTGTCAAGCCTGGTCTCTAAGTGGCAGCCTTGGGGTTGTAGCTGCATTGGGCTGGAAAGAATGGAAATCATAAAAAGGGAGCTGTGGGGCATGACTGGGAGACGGATGCTGGGGAGACGGGTGCTGGGGACCGGGCTACACGAGGGGGTTTGCACTTTGTGGACAATGCTTAAATTCTTAAGCTGGGTGGTGGGTATAAGGCATTAACTACATTATTTTTATAATTTTTTGAATGTTCTATTTCAAAATATATCCTAAGTATTTCTTTATAGAGAGACTAAATGGTGAAAGGCAATCACAGTGGATGATATGTTTTCATCCACTGTGAAACCGTATGTTTCAACTGCCTAGCACAGATTCTGGAACTGAAATGTACATCTTTTAGAAGACTCTCAGGATAACATCATATTGTGCTCTCACAGGGCTAGCCTGGATGATAAGATCACCATCCGCCTCTGATTTAGTAGCTCTGAACCAAAGACTTGGTTTTCCTGCATTTTTTTCTTTCTTTTCTGTTTTTTTGTTTTGTTTTTGTTTTTGTTGTTGTTTTGTTTTTGAGACAGGGTTTTCCTAAGTCGCTCAGGGCCTTGCTAAGTTGCTAAGGCTGGGTTGGAACTTGAAAGCCTCCTACCTCAGCCTCCTGAGTCACTGCCTCTCTGCATTCTTTCTTAAGGTTCCAAAAGTTCTCTGAAAGTGGTTGAAATGTCAGTAGCTAGGTTACTTCAGTGGATAAAAATCCTCAGCAATCTAAATGTTTCATTGTATATTATTGAAAATTTAGTTCTTGCACATACATAAGAATCATTACCCCACAGAGAAAGCGGCGGCACAGAGAAGGCCAAGGGCTGAGAAAGGGGAACGCTGTGGAAGTATAGTCTGGAATTAGATATTGGTGTGGCTGCACAACATTGTGAATCTACGAAAAATCACATAAGTACACAACTTCAAAGGGTCAGTTTTAT